TACGTAAGATTTCATTAAAACTAATAACGAAGAACGATCGATAAAGATAACAAGAGTTCTTGAAATATATGTATAATACATAAATACATATATATAGTTTACAAATGATCACTTTCTCTCTCTCTTTCTCTCTCTCTTTCTCTCTCTCTCGATAAGAAGAAGAAGAAGAAGAAGTAAATAATTAGACGAAGCAACCCTCGGGAAACATCAAGGCTTTCTCGTAAAGGGGGCAAAATGGTGCAAAAGGAGGCCCGCATTTTCGAAAACGTTATCGAGATTAAAGCCGTATAATTATCTCAGGGTCACGTGATACCACTAGAATCGAGGGGTGGTACGAGATAGAGAATACAATGGGAAGGAAGGAAGGAAGGAAGGAAGGTTTGGTTGGTTGGTTGGTTGGTTGGTTGGTTGGTCTACCACCTAACTCCTGAATCGCATCTTCTTGCTCATTCGTTTGATGAGGAAAGAGGAAGAAGAAGAAGAAGGAGACTAGCAAAGACGATGAAAAAGGGAAGAATAGGTTGAGGAAGGGTGTTGAAGCGAAAGAGAAAGAGATAATAAGATACTCGATGAATATGCAAAAGTCTTTCTCGTTGGATATCTGGATACGCAGGCTAGAGTCCTCACTTTCTCTATGTTTCATGCATTCAGATGCCCTTCTTACGTTACCTACGAACGATACGAAGAAGAAAACTGTGAAAAAGGGAGGATGACTCGAACAATGTCGTAATAAGTGTTAGCTTCTTCCTCTTCTTCTTCTTCTTCTTCTTCTTCTTCTTCTTCATTAAATGCCGTTTAAAAAGGCAGGCCACATTTCTCGTGAAATTTCTTAGCAACGAGGACACCAGGAGTCTATGCAAATCCCTTACTTGAATCTAGCGCGAACACGGGGAAACTCTTAAAGCCCTTTTATAGTATGGCTTCTCTAACGACCGAAAGTCGGATCGGTAACCTTCTCTTTTCCTTTTCTTGCTCTTTTCACGTGGAGCACTCGTGTGAGGAGTGTTAAGGATACCAACGACTTTTCCTGCTTAAAGTATATGTATATATATATATATATGTATGTATGTAAGTAAGTAAGTATGCATTCATATATGTATGTATGTATATATATACGTACGCTTTGAGATTTTTAACCTCCTTTCGTAAGAATACGAGAAGGACGCGTTCTCTCACGCCTGATTTATGTGTCCAAGCCACTTCGAGTCGCGGGATAGATGGGGGAAACGAAAACGACGTGGTGGAAACGCGAACGCGATGGAATTCGTCGACCGTTTAACATTCCCTTTTCTATCCCCGTCCTTCTTAGAAAACTTCTTCTCTTGGTATTTTCGTAAAAGCGCTTACCGATCGTGCAAACTTATTCCACGACGAGCACGACGCCGTTCATGGAATCGCATTAAATCTTTTTCTACCTCAATTTCGCGAAACTCAGGTAGCACTCTCTTGGTGTATATATATAACTGTATATATATATATATATACAGTTTCCGTTTTGATAGAAAGTACTTGTCTTCGTTGTCGATGCGACCTCGATTGCTCGTATATATTGACTTTCATGAACGATTGCGGGAAATAAAGTGACTAGAGAGGTTACACGCAATGCATTTATTTGTTCCCTAGCTTGTGAAAAGCTAGAAATCGTCGTTAAGAGGCGACACTATCGGGAAAAAATTGCACGTTTCGGTTAAGGTTATTTCTATCGAAAAAGAGAGAGAATGATAAATACAATTTTTTATTTATACATGTGTTTTTTTTTTCCATCGACAACGACGAGATAATAACTTTCTATATTTTACTCTTCTCCTCTTCTTCTTCTTCTTCTTCTTCTTCTTCTTCTTCTTTACCTTTTGCTCCCTATCGAACGTAAAACCACAGAATCTACTCTTCTCGGTAGTTACTCTCTTCCCTCGTTTGCTTGTAATTTACGTCGACGATCTTTATTTGCTTACCCTTAGGTTAAAGCGCAGGATTAAAGAGCATCGTGGTGGTGCCAGCATAAGTTGAATAATGAAAATTTGATGTTGAGCGATGATCTTGTACCACCAGAGAGAAACACGTATCCCCAGGTTGCACATATATGTATGTGCGTATAACCTATACATATGTAATCTAACACGTGAAAAAATACTTTGCCCTTGGCACGTTTTATTTCTGTTCGTCTGTTCGTCTCCCTTCTTTTTTTCTTTTTTTTCGGAGTATTTTTATATCCAACGAAACTCTGTACGAGGTACGACCAACACGGTACGTTATATCAACTTTGAAACGAAAAAAATTCTTTCAAAGTTATGACACATAGTGTATCCCAACATCGGCGTCCCTGTTTTGTATAAAATCTACGATTATGACATGTTGTAAAAATACATACCGTCGATTAATCAAAAATAAAAAAAAATAGTAGAAGTATTCGTATAATAATTAAACAAAATAATCAGACATATTTAATATACATTTACTCCTTTTATGATTTCACATTTTAATATTTATTCTGTAATCTTTATATATTATATTTTACACAAAACTTTCTGATTAATTTATAAGACTTTTCGGATAAAATACTCTTGAAATTCTCGAGGCATTTACGCGAAGACCGAAATAGGTGTTAGTAATTAGTACGTAAAGAGGAGAGAAAGAGAAGAGAATACGAAGGGACGGCAAAACATAACACCGTTAAAGCACCCTTGCACGAGCAACGAGAAGAGACTCGATGTGACCTATTAGTCACTATTGAGCTTTGAGAAAAGTGGCTACAAGAGGTGTCTACGTATGCAAAAGGGTTTATTTCCAGGAGAGAAACCTTATTTATCCCTCGGTCTTTCCTTCATTCTATTCATCCTTTATTAACGTTTATTATAGTCTTAATATCACCGTGTTATAACTTAATTCATTATTTCAAGTATCAAGTTATTCTTTTCTTAATTAATTAAACCTAACTTTATCATTATAATAATGTTTCATAAAAATTATTATCTCATTCAAAAGTTAATCGTTATTTATCATTTATATATATATTTATAAAAACATTTGTATTTTTTAATGAATCATTTTTAGTTATAAATACATTTTATATACACATTTTCTCTCTCTCTCTCTCTCTCTCTCTCTCTCTCTCTCTCTCTCTCTCCCTCTCTCTCTCTCTCATTTATATATAGCAATAGAAATATGCCAATATAGCGAGGTTTTAAAAAGTAAAGAAAAAAAAAATTACTCTTCCGCCGGTAATATAAAGTGGAAAAATACAAAGGTAAGGTAAGCAATTGGATGTTGCGAAGACGTAGAACTCGTCGAACGCTTGTTGTATTTTCTATTGTTGCTGTATCCACGCGCGTAGTGGTACTTTGCTGTTGGTACCTTGCTTTCGTTTCATTAAATTTTCACGTTGTATTTGCCGAGAAAATTCCCCGATCAATTTCCGTCTGTGAGGGAGAAAGAGAAAGAAAGAAAGAGAAAGAGAAAGAGAGTGTGAGTGAAGGAGAGGGGTAGTCGGGTGAATAGGGGGATAAAGAGAAAGAGAAAGAGAAAAATGTTTCTATCTCTCTTTCCCTCGTCATTCTTACTATCAACAACGACGGACGACGGTGTTTGTTTTCTTTAATTAAATAGTCGTTTGTTTTGTTGAGTTATTTTTTACAAGGGCTCGCGCTTTATTCTCCCGACTCTTTTCTTACGTTCCTTAGGGTGGAACGCACTCGAATGTAATTCGAGGAAGGATCACTGCAAAAAGGAATGGAATGTTCTTATTACTTATCGGATCTCTTGCTTTTCCTTCTCGCGTCGTTCGTTCATTCGTTCATTCGTTCTTTCTTTCTTTCTTTCTTTCTTTCGTACGTTCGTTCGTTCGTTCGTTGAAAGGGAAGAAACGAAGCGCTCGTTTGAAAATAATTTTATTTTCTGCGTAGAGAGTATCGATGAGAAAGAGAAAGAGAGAAATGTAGATGGAAAGAAAAAAAGAAAGAAAGAAAGAAAGACAAAGTCGGTATTTCATATCTTTCTTAGTGCAGAATTTTAGTATGTAATAAAGATATCTTTCGTGATTTCATAGACTTTTTTTTCCGTATAAGAGAATGACAAAATAATATTTTTTTCTCTCACTTTAATTTCGATAGAGTTAAATTTGATTAAAGTAAGGAAAGAGAAAGATCGAAAGATTGAAAAAGGTTAGGATACGAGGTTTGATAGGAAGACAGACCCACCCCCTCTTCGTGGTGGCAATTCCAAACTGAAATTTCATAGTCCAAGGAACAGTGAGTGATCTCAAACTAGTAGGAACGATCCCTTAGAGCATCAATCAACGAGCTTTACAATCAAGGGACTTGCTACCGACGGACGATTCTATGGGAATTTTGATGAGCATCCACCATTCGATTATCTAACACCCATGTACATTGCAAATATCTTATTAAATTGATAAAAGTATAAAAGACGTTGGATGATAAGAAAATTTTTGTTTAAGAAACATTTGACAACTATTCTCATTTAATTTGATAATAATTATATAACGATAACTATTATTCCAGTTAATTTATTAAATCGCATCAATTATTGGGTTACCTTTTTATTGAAGATAAAAAAAAGAAATTTTAATTTTAACGCAGCTAAAATACTCATAGGAAGTGTGATGCTGTTCGATATAAAAGCAAATCATGGTTCCGATGATTTTTCTATAGAAAATTGATGATATCTGGACAATTAACAAATATTCTAATAATTGTCAGAAATTATCCTTCACTTACTCAACGTAGAATAAATTCATATAACTGAGAATATTCTGATAATCATTTATACAATTGACAATTACAGTGACAATTGAACGACATTGATTGACCACTATGTTTGATAACAAGTCCTAAGAATCTGTGTTATAGTTTTTCAATGTCATAACTATGAGAATGGATATATGGTGATCAAATTATTAATATTTTAAATTTTTGTCCACACACACACACACACATCTCGTTAACAATATTATTAATGATTTATATTTGAATATTTGTGTTTAGATGCTGCAGTGATGGAGGGTGAAGGAACGTTGGGCCGCGGTCATTCGAATGGGGGCCGTGGTTTGCGCCGTCAACGGTCCCTCGAATGGCGAGAACGGCGCGGTTATGGTCATAGTGCTCAATCAAGTAGCGACGAAGAAGAAAAAGCTCATCGCGTAGTTGGCCCATCGACGACTTCATCCACCAATAGAGGAGCTCGAAGTCCTGGACAAGTTTTCGCCTCTATACTCGCACAACATTATGGTGGTGAGTTTAATTACAATTAACAAAACTAATTTAAGAACAAAAAAAAAGAGAAACAAAATAAGTTAACCCATTCACTGGCAGACAAATTTTAATCGTCTTTCTTGACTCTATGGTTTTAATATTTTATTTAAAAAAAAAAACATGGAATTATACATTGAATCTAATAATATTAAGTTACGAATATAGTACGTGTTTGTTTCATTTTTTTTTTCTTTTAAATATATTACAATATAAAATGTTCATTTTCAGTTTTTTCTAATAATTCCTAACTTATTTCGTGATCAATTGCAATCGATATAAATTTGTAACGTGATTGGTAGTGAAACGATTAAATATTTAAGAATATCCGTGACTTCTCATTTGAATATATATTTTTCAATATATATGTTACCGTCAAAGCCGGAAATCAGTCATTGCTAGTAATTCCATGGCATTACTATGAATACTATGAATACTATGAAGCCTTCAGACGAAGTCGAAAATTGAAAAATTCTTCCAGTTTTTCCTAGGTATGGAACATAATACTTTGATATTCTATAGAATATCAAATTACTATTTAAACAACGTTGAAAAGAATACATTCTCAGACACAGACACACGCAGCCATACGATTACACAATATCAGAAATTGCAATGCTGTAAATTATGCATCTTTGCAATTTCTTTGAAAAGTTTTGATACTTATTTTTTATACTAAAAGTGAATAGATTTTAATGAAACTTATATTAAATTAAAGTACATTCTTGTGTCTACGCGTAGAATATCATATCGAGTTATAAATCAATCTGAAAAGGTTCATAAAATGGCAAAGAAAAATTAGCGGATCAGGCATTGTTCATATTGCCTAAAGCCAGGCATTGCTAGCATTGTCGGGGGAGGTTTGGTACCTAGACCATCATAATTTAAATGTATTTTAAAAGATAAAAATTTACATTGAAAAACAGTTGAAACTTTGATATTAACAAAAATAGTTTATACATCTTGATCGATACGTGAAAGAAGAAATTGTGTATTATGGATATCTACTTGAAATTAAATACGCGAAACAACGATTATAAGCGAGCTTCGCTCGTTAAGTTTCGCTCTGTCACTCAACTTTCGAAAGCTTTTAATGGTATACATCAGAGCCGTGCTTTCGCCTCCTTCGCATTGATCTCGTACAGCAATAAGCGAGTTTTGCGTGCCTCGTTCATCATATTCCATCAAACACTCGGAAGGTTGCCCATTCACTTCGCTACCCTTAATCTCTTTCCCAGCTTCCAAGCAAACGTGTAGATTAAAGGATTTACGAAATTAGTTTTACTTACTTACTATATAGATACATATATATATATATATATACAATATATATATTTGATATTAACTTTCCAGACGAAATCAACATGACTATCTGAATCTTTCCTTGACATTGTTCTACCATCTTTTTTTATCTTGATCATCCTCTCGAGATAACAATCGATATTACGATCAAATCGAAAAGAAAGAAAAAAAGGAAGGAATAAATGGATGGTAGCTGAAAAAGTAGTCATTGTTTGTCCCTTTTTCCATTATTATTCCTCGAATATCCCGATGAGTTGAATATTTCGCTAAATAAAAAAATTAATACGAAATATTGGAACCACAAGCACTCTCTCGTCGTCGTCGTCGTCGTCGTCGTCTATATTACAAATCTGCAAATACGGAATGGGGATGATCTACGAAGAATTTAATGAAAAACGTAATAGATTGTAACCGTGTATGTTACAAAATGTTGTCTCTCTTTCGAATACTTTATTTTTTACTTTTTGTTTTTCCTTCCCTTTATCTCTCTCTCTCTCTCTCTCTCCCTCTTTTCATTTCTTCGCTTCGTGAAGGCCATTTCATCGATTCATCTTGAAAAAGGGACAACACGGGGGACGCGGTGCATGAACGAAAAGGGAGGAACTCAATTAATAGCAGTCCTCCGTTTATACTATATTTCTTGGTTGCGGTATCAAGCGAACTGCAACAGCTCACCTCACGTCTGTCTGCATTTGTTCCAATTCAGTGGCCGCCGATTACCGCTGCCCCCACCTCATCCCACCCTATCCCATCCCCCTGTTCCAAATCCAGCCTCTTCTCCCTGTCAAACCCTCTCATCCTCTTCATTTCTCTTTCTTTCTCTCTTTCTCTCTATCCTTCTTCGTATCAACCTTCCCATTTTCATCCCTATTCTCCCATTTCCGTCTCTTCTTTCTCTTACTCTTCTTCTTCTCTTCTCTTCTCTTCTCTTTCGTCTATCTTCGCATTGGACGACGATATAGCATCACGTAACCGCACAGAGAAGTTTATCGAAAGAGACGACGACATAGACACGAACGACGCATCTTCTTCCTCCTATTTTCTTCTTTCCATTTTACTTGAAAGTCGATCGATTCCTTGGTCTAACCTCAAATCGATATCTCAAATGTCATTGAAAATTTCAACCTTCGTATTATATATATATATATATATATTGTATATTAGATAAATCAAAAGTTTATGCATTTATTGCGTTTAGTTTTGAATAGTGCAACTTTTTTGAAGTCAATAAAATGACTCTTCTTTACACGCAAGTGAAATATTCACTTAAAAACTCTGCTTTACTTTAATATAATATATAATATTTGTTCTTCTTTATACATATCTAATTTATTTAATAATTCGTTGAATTAATTAAATTAATGTTAACTTTAACTTAATCCTTCAAGAGAGTGTGCGGTTAGCCTTTTTTTATTTTTTTTTTATATTATTATTTATACACTCGAGTTTCTTACTATATCGTAGTTTTTACGTTAAAACAAAGTTCACGCGACTCTCTGTCAGAATAAAACTTTATTTCTCTCTTTCTCTCTCTCTCTTATATTTTCTTGTATCTCAAAAGAAATGAAGAAAAGATAGAAAAAGAGTTACTAGCTCACGGAGTCGCGATTGCCGCAATGCAGACGTTGCCACCGCCTTAAAATCGACTTGTTAATTATCTCTCCGCATCGATTTCGCACCGTTCCCAAGCGAGATAATCAGCGTGAAAATTGCCGAATCAGAAGACGATAGATGAATCCGGAAAGCAAGAAGATCTATGTACGTCTCTCGATGGAATAAGAAATGTGTTTACATCTTTTCTTATTTCTCTTTCTCTCTCTCTCTCTCTCGTTTATACTTTTTTTCTATCTTAATAATCATTAATGTTTTTTCTTATTCTTACCTTTACGAATAAACATGAAATATAAGAACGTATAGATCGTCAACGATAAATCGACAACAAATTTCATATTAATCAAATTTTCATATCATCATTCATATATTATATATATATATATAATATTATCGTGAAAGATCGAAATTGGACAATGTCAAGATTCACTTGTTCGCTTGTTAACACATATCGTGTAAAACCGAATATTCGGATTTTATTCTTGTACATTAATAATTCGGACATATATCCATCATACCATATGTGTGAATCTTCGCGTTATCCAATTTCAATCTTTCACAGTATAACATATTATATCGTATTGAGACAAAACTAGAGATGATTATTTTTCACGATGTCGTTTTGGATTTTATCCAAGGATAGGCAACGTGTTAGTATACCCTCTTGTCCTAGACGCAGTCGTATTGTTCCGTTATCGTACCTGTTATCGTTTTCTTCCGCCTACTCGTATTGCTCGTTAGTGTATGCACGATATATCTTGTTACCATCGATCCCTACCGGTCGGTTGTGTTCACTCGCTCTCACTCTTGCTAGCTAGTCCGTGAAATTTCCGCTATAAGGTATCCTCTTTCCTTTCTCGAACGACATATCTTTTACGGTTTTCCGAGCAAGCAAGCCACCCCCCCTCCTTCCTCTTTCCTTCCTCCCTCCTTACTCCTTCCTCCTACTCCTCCTGCTCTTTCTAACAATGGTATCCAATGTGTCACATTACCTATAAGAGAAGGTGGCGAGGAGAATACTATTACTACCTTGACACGACACGACACGACAACGTGTATACTACCCAACCAACATTTTCACATAGCAACATAAATGGCGGCTCTTAATCTCCGTCGGTTCGGTCATCAATACGTTGATGTTTCTCGTTGAAAGTAGCCCTGTCTCCTGGTTGGACGATCCAATTGTATATATATATAGTATCCGTGACATTATATTGTCAGCTCATTACACCGGCTGACGCGGCTTCCTATCACGTTTTACTACCCTCTTGGATAGAAAATATTGACCTCTTGCATATCTCGCAAATGTATATATCGTATATACTATATATCGTTGTTATCGATTCCGCATGATATCTTCAAATTGCTTTCGGTATCCTTATAGATTATATCGTATTTTTGTGTGTGTATATATATATGTCTGTGTGCGAAAGTTTTATATTAAAGAAAAATAAAAGTAACAGATCTACGATTTAAGGTGAAGTTATAAATTGTAAAAAATAATATATTATCTTACTTGGTATTTTTATACGATGAATATGAAGATTTTTAAAAATAATAATAATAATAATAATAATAATCAATTGAATATATATCTAAAAATCTTCTACCGATCATTATATCTTTCCTCTAGAATAGAGAGAAAAGAGAACAAAAAAAAATGAATAATTTAAAGATGTCGAATCGTACGATCGAGAATCCACGTACGTCTGGGAATCACTTTGAACGTCAAATTATCGGAAGGGATCTCCTTGTACGATCACTCGAATAATTGCGTTACAGACAGTCGATCCATTTAAATCACTCCATTGCCGACAAATGCTTCATTAAAATTCACCGTACCGGCTTTCTATCGCGACTATCGCGTTACGTAATAGGAAAATATCGATGAATCTTCTCTCGACGGTTAATTCGATTATATCTTCTTCCGGAATATTTCTTATAGCTTCATTTAAACCCGTTGTCTTCGTCGTCATTGTCATCCGCGTGTAATATTTCCGCGTTTGCGTTAATAATTTATAATATAATATATTTTATAGTCTTTTATTCACATATATCGAGATGAAATA